GTGATTAAAGCATATTCAAGGGCATTGTTTGGAGTCTGTTTGGTGAGTGCTGCACAGCAGGTATAGTGGAACACTAGAGATCTTAGTCCCAAGTGACAGTGTTCAAAAGGGGCGAGACAGCGCCCGACTCAGAGTGTTACCAGTAGACGTGCCAGAGTTTAAACTTTGTGTCACTAGTAGACGTCCCCAGTTAAACTTAAAGGGATAGTTCACCAAAAAATGAAAATTCCATAATTAATTACTCACCCTCATGGTGTTTCAAACCCGTAAGACCTCCGTTCATCTTCAGAACACAAATAAAAGTATTTTTGATGAAACCCGAGAGCTTTCTGACCCTGCATTGACATTCTGACTCAGGGCCTTGAACGTGTCAGTTGCGATGCTGTCTATGCAGGGTCAGAAAGCTCTCGGATTCCATCGAAAATACCTTTATTTGTGTTCCGAAGATGAACGGAGGTCTTACGGGTTTGGAACGACATGAGGTTGAGTAATTCATGACAGAATTTTCATTCTTGGGTGATCTATCCCCAGTCAGGTGGGTAGGGAAATTTCTACCACACGGTAAAAATTGTTTACAATATTGTGAAATTTACAATATTGTAAAATATTATTACAATTTTAAATAACTATTTTCTATTTTATTATATTTAATGATGTAATTTATTCCTGTAATGGTAAAGCTAAATCTTCAGCAGCCATTACTCCAGTCTTCAGTGAAGTCTTCATGATTCTTCACAAATCACTCTAATATGATGATTTGGAGCTCAAGAAATATTCTTATTATTATCAATATTGAAAACAGGTGTGCTGCTTAATATTTTTGTGGAAACAATGATTAATTTCTGTTATGTTTAATTTATTGCATCCTTGCTGAATAAAAGTATTAATTATCCCCCCCCCCCTTCCAAAAAAACCCCCCTGAATGGCTATATACATTGAGTTTTACTGTGAAAATAAACTAAAGAATAAAAGACGTGAAACCTGAGGTGAGAAACCTTTTGGAAATCTGTGCATGAATACTATAGCATGCCACTGTATGCTGCGGTGTAGATGGATAGATTGAAACTGAAGTGCATAAAGCCATACCTCGACCTGTTTCCATGGATACTGCTGATACTGGCTCTCAGACATGGGGATAAATTCATCATAGTGAATCTGACGGGAAACAAAACCATCAGTCATCTGAGATCAACTCTACAGAGCCAAGAATAGTCAAAGCAGAGTTTTAGTACCTGTTTGAGCTGCACATCAGCGGCATAGTTCATCACAGTGTAGTGCTTCTGATAGTCATCAAAGTGATCAAGCGAGAAAGGTCTGGAAAGAAAGATAAGCATCTTAATGCAGTTATGTATGCAGACATGGTGTTATATTCTCGATGTAAATGCATAGAAACAAGTTTGCTAATGACGTCATTTGCCAATAGATGTTGTTAAGTGTTGTAAAATAATTAACAAAGACAAATAATACCTATATTCTTCCATTCTTTCACATTCTCATTCAAGCTAAATTCCTGTTAGCAATATACTTGATTTATAACAACACATGAGCTGCGATCCAGTTCGTTTTTTCATGCCCTTCCCTTGCTAACTTCCCTCCATCTCATTGACTCAGATGTGTGTCATTGATTATGTTGCATGAGTGTCCAAAAACGAGGGGTCGAGGGACTGTTCATATAAACTTCAACGGGAATTCCCCCGAGGGGAAGTGCTCAGGGAAGTTCGCAAGTGTGTGTCTAAAAAAGCGAAATGGAACGCAGCCATGGTTAGAATATAAGGATATTCAATGCTGTTATCTCCCTAACTTTTAGCTGACCTGGATTCTTAAAAACATGGGTTTTTAAACTATTTCAACTGTGATTAAGTAAATATGATCGTGGACCACAAAACCAGTCATAAGGGTCAATTTTTTTTTAAACTGAGATTTATATATTATCTGAAAGCTGAATAAATAAGCTTCCATTGATGTATGGTTTGTTAGGATAGGACAATATTTGGCCGAGATACAACTATTTGAAAATCTGGAATCTGAGGGTGCAAAAAAAAAGTTCATAGCAATGCATATTACTAACCAAAAATTAAGTTTTGATATATTTACGGTATGAAATTTACAAAATATCTTCATGGAACATAATGTGTTTCATGCATCACAGTGCTTTTGCTTTTGTAATTTTGCACAGACATTGTAGAAGGAAAACTCTCATATAGTACTCATATTTATAAGTTTATTCATATTTACTGTGTATTCCATTGCAAAGTTTTGTCTTCTGATGTACTGTTCTATGAATACTAAGCAGAAAGGTCTGCTATGAGAAAATGTCACAATGACCTGCTTGTTTTCGCTACTTGCTGAGGAAAACAGGATATCGCGAGAAAGTTGGGATGATGCTACGTGACAAATGCTTTTCTCGCTGTTTTAACTATATATGGCAATATTATGGAGACTTCTTGTGAAAACAATGGGCCAAAAGGGTATATAATCAGAGAAGCATGCTCACATGTCTTGGTCACATGTTCAGCAGGACTCACTGCTGTACTATTTGACCTTCTTGCAAGAATAAAAATTTGAAAAGGATCTGTCTCTGACCATGTTATATCATTGAAAAAGGTTTTTTTCCACAACAATATATACAGCAAAAACACACTTCAGACACATATATCACTAGTCACAGTAATAATGTGAATTATCATTATTTTAAACTAATCATTCTCTTTTTAAATATTTTAATATGAAGTTTATTCTTGTGATGTCAACCGAATCATTACTCCAGTCTTCAGTGTCACATGAGCCGTCAGAAATCATTCTAATGTGCTGATTTGCTGCTCAGGACACATGATCCGATCTCACCCTGACTTCTGTCTCTCTCTCTTTCTTTCTATGTATGAACTCAATAACCCTGGAGAGCAGGAAAAGAATGGAGACTGGGAATTTGGTCCAAACACATCTGTTTTTATACATAATTTCTGCATGCATATATTGGAAATCAGCCTAGTCGAGGATCTCTGCTTCCAGGACACATCTGCTCTTTACCATATAAAGTCGATGATGTAATGTATAATTCTTATTGGTCAAGCAATACCCCGCCCCCTTGACAATGTATAAAAGTTGATGCTAGGAAAAAAACTCAGAAGAAGTTGGTGGACAAAGACTTTTTTGTTAAAATTAGGATTGCAGAGCAAAAAGCTTTTTGCATAGCATTGCATTAAAGATGCAGTAGTTTCTTCCTCGAGTCTGTGTGAAGGGGTTGTTTTATCTCAATGTTTTGTTTCAGTGCCTTGGGGATAGTCTGCCTGAAGGGACTGTTAATAGTTTTGAAAGGAATGTGACTAAGCCTTCAGGGAGTGTCTTAAATATGCGGAGGAGAGGAGCCCCCAAATGACCAACTAACAGCCTTCTTTTGAGGAGTACAACAGGCAAATTTTTGTGCTTCTCTTTCAATAGACTTTAGTCAGGGCAGCTGCAGATTTAATTTTTGACCGGAATGAAGTACAGTGTGTTCAATGGATTGTTTTGTTTAAAAGAATAGTTCACCCAGAAATAAAATTTTGCCCTCGGGTCATCCAAGATGCAGATGAGTTTGTTTGTTCATCTGAACAGATTTTGAAAAATTCAGCATTATATCACTTACTCACCAGTGGATCCTCTGCAGTGAATGGGTGCCGTGAGAATGAGAGTCCAAACAGCTGATAAAAACATTACAACAATACACAAGTAATCCACACAACTCCAGTCCAACAATTAATGTCTTGTGCTTGTAAGAAACAAATCCATTAATTAAGGCATTTTAACTTTTAACCTTTGTTTCTTGCCGAAATACTATAATCCATAATAACCCTCCCTTTAGTGTTTAAAAAAAGAAATACATCAAAATCCACCAACATATTTGTTTAGAACTGTTTTGGACTGTTTCTGCTTGTAAACGGTGCTTGATCTGTGCATATTTCTCTTGATTCAGACTGGACAACTTTTTCACTGGAGAAAGCAATATTATGAATAGAGGAGCAACAATTTTAAGTTACAAATTTCTTAATGAAGAAGATTTTTTTTTTTTTAATACAAACACACAGATTTTCACTCCACAAGATGTTAATTGATGAACTAGAGTCGTGTGGATTATTGTGATGTTTTTATCAGCTGTTTGAACTCTCATTCTGACGGCACCCATGTGATGAAATGCTAAACTTTTCCAAATCTTTTCTGATGAAGAAACAAACTCTTCTACATCTTAAATAGCCTGAGGTTGAGTACATTTTCAGCTATTTTAAATTTTGGGGTGAACTGTTCCTTTAACAACATGGCAATTTTTCAGCTGATAAAACATCTAACATACTTCCAAAAGATTTCTTAAGAAGATTTTTATTAATCAAAAAATTAATTAATCCGGTATAATCAATGTGAATATATCCATTTATGTATCATGTTATTCTACTATTATAATCATGCATTTGCCTGTGTGTATAGAGGCCTGCAAGAGAATTGAATGTGCAGTCATTACAAAGATACAGTATATGGTGAAGCTGCACATCCTATTTTGATATTAGACAAAATATATAATGAGGACTCCTTGTTCAACTTAACATAAATTGAGGCCTCCTTTCTTCTTCCTAAAAAAACAGATTGGGAGTCACAGCCAAAAAAGGTAAAAAAAATGGATTAACAATGACAACAATGTATGAAATGTATTAAACAGGTCTTGAGGAAAAACTGTATGAAGTGTGCAGACACAGGATCTCTGGATTCTCAGCAGTCTCTCTCAATATCTCTGATAATAAAGTCTATCTTCTGGCATCAAAACCTCAAGACTTCAGGAGTGATTTCTCACAGAAGCGGCAGAAACCACCATACTTTCAGCCGAATTCATAAACGAGTTTTGAAAGTTGCTATAGGTTATGTCTACGAGTCCAGATGTGTGGACCGAATGTTTGTGACAATTCTAAGTTGCACTTTTCATGTAATTCTGTGGGCACAGACTCAGTACAGAAAGTGGGATACCTTTGGGGTGCTCTCTCGCTGTCTGATTATGTAGTTGAGGTTGTTCGTGATGTGTGTGTCCAGACCGCGGGCCAGGTTCCAAGGTTTGCAGATCCAGTGGTTATCCAGTCCTCTGAAATTATCATTGACAAATAAGGATGTCAAGCAATTAAATTTTTTATCTAATTAATTACATGATGTGCCAATTAATTAATCTAATTGATCAAGTCACTGTCTTAGGCCCTGTTTACACCTGGTATTATGATCCGATCACAAGTGGACAACGCTAAATAGAAACACAGGTGTGAACAGGGCCTAAAACGTTTTGAGCTTGTCCACTTTTGACCACTTCCAGAGGTAGTTGAATATGCATTTGACCGGACTGCGTTCATAGTGTGGATGCTCATGTGGTCGAATGCATTCAAACAGACACTAAAGTCCACCTAATTTCCACTGACTGAGCTATTTCTCAAACATTACGATGTTCCTTTCCTATCCGTTAATCAACAAAATTACAATGTTTAATTAGATATAAATTAAATTACAATTGATAAGTGTATGTGACCCAATAAAAATAAATGTTTTTCTTTTCAGTGGTTTAGTTTTGAATGCACATAACCAACAAGAGAAAACGGAGAAAAACAGAATAAATGCCATATAATGGTAATTGGTGTATTCAAATTTCCAATATTGTTAGTTTTCATATTTATACAAATATTATGCCTTATGAATTTGTCTTTATGATTTTTTTTATATTATTACTTTTCAGTATATTCATATATCCAATATTTATATTGAAAGGAGTGAAATTATTTCCTTATGAAATAAATTCTTTGTGAAGCCAAACACTCAGGAACTCTCGCAAGGCAAATGCCATGCCACAAAACACTGGGCTTTGATCTACTCGTGAAGCCAAACACTCAGAAACAATGGGCTTTGATCAAGATCTGGAAGAAAGACCATTTGCTCTTCAGTCCCTTCACCCATCCTTCCCCCCTGGGCACATGGTCCAGGTCACTAAAAGTTGACAGAGAAATGCCAAGAACTCAAGTTGCTATGCTCACATAAAACATTTACTATATCTTCAGGATTCATGATCGTAAACTTTTCATGTTTGGTGTCATTTTAAAGGTCTTTGTGCGATTGGTAAATTGGTTTCAATTTCACAGTAGTCATTTATATTATGAGAAAGATTTAAAACTTTTGTAGAATTGTGTTGTGCTGAGGAGGGGGGGTGTCCCCCTTTAGGGATCTGTGAGAATGTTTATCTATCTCCAGCCAGGTGTGACCCTTGATCACCGAAACTAACAACCAAAAGGCCTTATGTTTTTACAACTGATGTAAAGATTTCTTTATTTTTGTTCTGGTATTATCATATCGAAGTTAGAAATTCAAATATTGTGACAAAATTTATTTTGTAGGGTGCCACAAGTTTGTTAAAATTTCCAAAGGGTGCCACGACTAAAAAAAGGTTGGGAAACACTGCTCTATACTATGTATTTTCCTAAAGTCAGGTATGCATCCTTTGCTCTTAGATTTATCTTTGAGAATTTGATGTCTTGTATTGATTTGATATCTTTGAATTGATTATGTAATTGGCATGATACAAGTTTACCTGACAACTAATAAATTGTTATATTTGATTTATTTTGAACTTTTCTTGAAATCATTATGACTAGTAAACTGTGAGGAGGCTTTTGTTACCGCAAATCTACGGCCAGGATAGGTCAAACTGAAGGCTCATGAATGATAGGAGCAGTAGGCACGTCATCGGAGACCTTCTGATTTCTGTCTATCGCTGATGTTAGCAAGTTGTACGGGAAAGGACTAAGTGAATTACACTTTTTGTCATAAGCAAGCAGTAGGCGGCAGGCAAAACAGGTATTAGTCTACCTACACCCTCTGACTAACATCGGACTGGCGAATTTGTGATCGTAAGATCCACGTAAGGCAAACGTGAGACTTAAAAGAGACATTAGGTCCCCAGTGAACGGATAATTGAAAGTATTGAGTCCGGAATAATCAAATATCTAAATTAATATTTGTGATCTTTAAATTTAGGCAATATTTCTAAGCAATATTTCTAATTAAAAACTGATCACGTGAAATTGGAGTCAGATTGAACACGGAGCTAGACTAAAAATTAAACTAAATCCTGATTAATTCAGAAGCGCAAGTAAAAGACCGAATACGCATTAAACCTTCGACCAGGCCGCTGGATTCCGCTTTTTGGGCTGGCGGGTGGATTCTTACAATATCTATGTTTTACATTATTCATCATGTATCCTATGATTTTTAGTGTTAATCTGTGTATGACAAAAAATTTTGCTCTGAAGATCCATTTCTTGTGTCAACAATTTTAGGGTCAGGGACAGATGTGCCTTCCATCGTTCTTGTCATTTCAGCAAAACTATTATCTATATTCAAGTGATAACACAAGAAATAAGATTTGATGATTTTCTCTGAAACCAAATTACAAGATGTTTCATGTCAAGAAATATAGCTTGTCTAACTATTTGACTAACTATTAAACTACATAGCTTTGTCTAACTAAAAGTGTCTAAAACCACAATGTCTGTGTAAGTTTTGCAATCTAGGATGCTGCAACATGACCCCTGTGGTGCAAAGTGCATAGCCAACAAGAATGTAGGGGGTTTACCCAATGCTTATAAGATCTTACCATGAGTTTATGAACTTCCTGACTTAGCCACTTCTACTTCTTCTCTTGCATCTTTGCTCTAGCAGTCAGTCCTGTTTGTGGTTTGTTATTTCTTTAATGTAGAACTATTTTACTCAGAAATCTTAAAATGATTAACAGATGATGGTTATTAAAATTGAATCTTGTTTCATTTATAATCCTTTTTGTCATTCATTTGCTTATTCAAATAAGTTAGTCAATAAATTGATATTCCATCTGCATCGACTCGTCTGACTGGATCTCATTTGCATCAGTAATAAAATTAATAGGCCTACATGAAATATGTTTCAGTTAAATAATTAACACAACAAAAGGGAAAAAAATGTTTATGGCCACACCACAAGTTTAAGGAAACAGAGATGGCTGAAAGTGCATCCTGTTTGTTTATTTATTTGACAAAGGTATAGTTTGGTTCTTACTGTGACTATTCATAAATAAAAGTAAACCCTTTAAAATGTCTTACTCCTATCTTTATGACCAAAAATGACAGAATATTTTAGTTTTTACCACCGTGATAAGGACAATATCCTTCTTTGCGCCGGAGCCTCTCGCGTGCACACGACATATCATTTATAGAATTGCTAGATGTTTATAGGCCTATGTTGTTTTAACGAATGCCATTATAATTTGTGTTTAATTTTATAACTGTATATAACATTTTGTGCTATAATTTTATAGTTACTTATATTTTTTCAGATTTTTATCGTATTTTGTTCTGAATACCTGTAAAATTTAAGGAATTGCTGACAACTCATAGGTGACTAATGTTTTCTCTCTCTCAACGCAATTTTGACATATGTGTAGCAAATTTTTTATCCATGCAGTAAACGTTTTAAAAATAGGTTTGGGGGGAAAAAACCCCAAAACAAACAGACAAAATGTGTTCAGCTCATATGTAAATTGCTCATATGTATTATTTGAAAGATCAGATAAAAGCCCACATACACTGCCCATAGACCCTCCCCTCAAAAGAAATCAGGACAGAAGTGGTCGGAAGTGGACAGAGGAGATGGATTAAAACACCAGGTGTAAATGTGAATGTGACTCCCTCATCTACTTGTGATCCGATTGACCAAAATCCATCTTAATACCAGGTGTAAACAGGGCCTTAATGAGAGAGTCATTCAGTCATTCAAACGGCTGATTCATTCAGAAACAAAGCAAGTGACTGTCTTTATGAATGGGTCACTGAATCACTCGAATAGTTCAAAACATGGATTCATTCAGTAATAAAACAACATGTTTTGCTTGGAAAGGCACAAGTTCTGCTGTGGCTTTGTTTGAACCTATTTCCATTGGCAAAATTGAGCAAAACAGATAATATTGACAATATTGTGTTGTAAGATTCTATAACACCCCTGTGCTCTTCTGTGTCCTCCTATATGCAGCATTAGATCATGGTCATAAGACATGTTGTTTTCCTTAGCTGGCTGTCTAAGTCCTTTTCCTTTACTTGTGCTGAGCTGACAGGGACCCACTTTATATTAAGTGGCCTTAACAACTATGTACTTACATTTAAATTAATAATTTGGTACAATGCACTTATTGTGTACATACATGTTTTTACATTATACTTATATTTTAAAAATACCTGCATGTAATTACATTTGTAATTAATTTCTGTAATTACATTTATAATTA